TCTCTCTCTCTCTCTCTCTCTCTCGCTCTCGCTCTCGCTCTTGCCCTCCTTCTCGCTCTCGCTCTCCTTCTCGCTCAATGTTTCTCTCTTTCCCTCTCCCTCTCCCTTTCCTTCTCTCTCTCCCTCTCTTTCTTCCTCTCCATTCCTCTCTAAAAATCAATAAAAACATATCCTTGGCTAAGGATTTTTAAAAATATTGTCCTTAAATAATGAATTAATGCCAATATGCCCTTCGCTGTGTGGCATTGGCCCTGGTTGTGCAGGAGCCGTGGAGGTGCCTTAGTACAAAGCAAAGCAGTGCCGTCACCATGTGCCCTTCACCTTCGTGCACGGGAAGCAGAAATAAAGGGCCGTGTTACTCACTAATGTCCTTGGGGAAGCAGCAGAGCTAGGAACTGTATTCCGTCTGCACCCTGACTGCTCGGGTGGCGGGCTGGGGGTCAGGTGGAAGCACCTCCCCCTCTGAGGCAGGACAGTGTCTGGGGGACAGTGTCTGGGGGACAGTGCCGCTGTATTCCGTCTGCATCCTGACTGCTCGGGTGGCGGGCTGGGGGTCGGGAGGAAGCACCTCCCCCTCTGAGGCAGGACAGCGTCTGGGGGACAGTGCCTGTGGGGACAGTGTCTGGGGGACAGTGCCTTTGGGGACAGTGCCTGTGGGGACAGTGTCTGGGGGGCAGTGCCTGTGGGGACAGTGCCTGTGGGGACAGTGTCTGGGGGACAGTGCCTGTGGGGCTGCTGGAGGTGCCAGCTCAACCGGCCACTTTTCCGGGACCTGTGAACGCAAGCGACAAACTCCGCTTATTCAGTTCCTGGGTATTTAACAATACCAATACCTTCTTCTGGAAGGTAAACGAAACAGGCACATCACTTCAGAGAAATATTGTGGCCAAGAATGCATCAGCTTTTAAGAGGGAATTAGAATTAGAATTTTGGGAAACTTATATCCAAAGATGGGAGTGACTTTAAGAAAGCAGTTTTGTATATGGTATAATGAAATGTGTTAGCATTCAGAAGCTCTTCGTAACTCAAACTGATTTTTTTCCAAACAACCAATCTATTATTTTACAAAATGAGGGCTGGGTGAAGAATCCATTCAAAGTATAAGACAGAGCAACGGATTTTCATGTAACAGAGTACAAAAGCTCATTGGGTGGTTCCAGATTCCACATTCTAGCCAGTTTTTAAGAAATACCACTTTTTGAGTTTGGGTGTAATATCAAAAAGAGAATGTCTACAATCATTTGAAAAGGCTATTAAAATTCTGTCCCTTTCCCAGCTACCTATCTGTGAGAATAGATTTCCTTCATCTACGAGTATCTCCACCACAACACACCTCAGCCGACTGAAGGCAGAAGCAGAGAGAGAACCAGGCTGTCTTCGTTTAAATTTGAATTTCAGATAAACAAGTACTTTTGTATATATGCATGTCCCAAATGGTAACTGGCAACCCTATCTGCTAAGCCAGACACTCATTTTCATTTTGAAAAAAATAATATGTGTTTATAGAAATAGGTTAACATGTAGTTGGTTTATTGTTCTTTTTAAAAGAATCTATAACTATTTTAATTTCTCAGTTTTGATTTCTAATAGAGTCAGTATTAATAATTTTTTGAGTATTAATAATGTTTAAGAGCAAAAGGGGTCCTAAGACCAAACGCGTGAGAACTGCGCTGGCCAGGGTGGCGCAGTTGGTTGGAGCATCGTCCTGTACACCGAAAGGGTTCGAGTCCCAGTCAGGGCACACACCCAGGTTACAGGTTCAATCCCTGTGCGGGGTGCATGCGGGAGACGACCTGTCCATGTTTTCCTCTCACATTGATGTTTCTCTCCCTCTCCCTTCCTCTCTTTCTAAAAAATCAATGAAAAGCCTATCCTTGAGTGAGGATTTTTTTAAAAGGCATGTGCCACTTGGATATTTTTCCTGGTTAGGAAAGGTGGAAGTCAGTACTTACTGTGTTTCAGAGTAGGAGCTATAAATGATAAATGCTTTAAGAAATAAATGAGGAAAGAAAAGAGGGAGTTTGTCTAGTAAACTTGGAGCATTGGAATATTCTAAGCTCAGGCTCAAACTTTTTTAAATGAACCAGGAGAATTTCCTGGAAGATGGACAAGACTTAGAGGGGAGGAGGGGCCCCAGGGGGGTCAAGCAGAGCGCAGACAGGGGACCTTGAGCTGGGACGCTGCTGGGTGCTCTGAGTGCTTTGATTCTGGAGACCCAGGCTCCAGGTGGGACGGTGAGCCCAGCGGGGAGCCCGGGAGATGGTCCTGGAGGTGAGAGGCAGGTGAAGGGGCGGAGGGTGTTCCGGAGAGAGAGACACGAAGAAAGACTGTCCGTTAGGTAATTAACAGGAGGGCGGAAGTGCTCATGTGTGTCTTCTGGATAATCATAGCATTTTAGCCCTAGCCGGTTCGACTCGGGGCATAGAGCGTCGGCCTGCGGGCCCAGGGTCCCAGGTTCGATGCTGGTCAAGCGCACGCATGTACCTTGGTTGCAGGCTCCTGGCTCCTGCCCAGCCCGGGCCCTGTTGTGCAGGAGGCAACCAGTTGACGTCACATCAATGTCTTGCCCTCTCTCCTCCGCCCTCCCTAAAAATCAATGGAAAAATATCCTCGAGTGAGGATTAACAAAAACTAACAAACAACAAATAATCATAGCATTTTAAATCAAATAAAATGTGTATTTTTGTTTGATTTTTATATTTTTTTGTCCTGATTCTCCCAAAATTCTTTTTTTAAAAATATATTTTTATTGATTTCGGAGAGGAGAGAGGGAGAGAGAGATAGAAACATCAATGATGAGAGAGAACTATTGATCGGCCGCCTCCTGCACACCCCCGACTGGGGATCGAGCCCGCCACCCAGGCATCTGCCCTTGACTGGAATCGAACCTGGGACCCTTCAGTCCACAGGCCAACACTCTATCCACTGAGCCACACCAGCTGGGCTCTCCCGAAATTCTTTACTCATATAAATCTTGGTTAAAATGTCTACTGTTTCTTTGCTGAGAACAGTCGTTTGCACCATGATGCTTCTAATTCGATGTGCAGGTTTGTTGTCATTCTATCAGGAAGTAGAAGGGAAATGGAAGCCTCTTTGCTTCCAGCCCCACACGGCCACTGAACTGGAACTCTATGTGTTTAATTTGCGAGTTCCGTCCGCCCTTCGGAAACGCAGCTCACTGCGAACAGTGCTGGAAGCGGGTCTGCAAATCCGTGGGCTCTGGAGGGAGCATGGTGGTCCTTTCCCTCCCGTGGGTGTGCTCTCCGACCCCGGGGCTGTGGGGCCCGCTGGAGCCTGGGCAGGCCGCTCACCGCTGTGTTGGGAATGTCTCCGCTGTGACTTTTCTTCGTCGTGCGCTCATCTTTGGGGGGGAAAGAAACACACGATAAATAATGTCTGACACAAAACATCCCTGTAAAGAGCTGACGGCTGTTTCCCCCCCTCCCTCCAGGGGCGCCGCATGGCGCTTCACACCCGGACCCACACTGGAGAGAAGCCCTTCGCCTGCCCATCCTGCAGCCAGCGCTTCGCAAAGAAGGAACTCCTGAGCGCCCACGTCAGGAAATGCCACGCCGCCGCCCCGCCGGCCGTGCACGAATGCCCCAAGTGCCAGAAAGGCTTCTCCCGCTGGGTAAGCTCCCCGGGCGCCGGGCGCAGTCCCTCTCCCTGAAAGGCCCCGCTTCCTCCCAGGCCCAGGGTCTCTCTCCGGGGCTCAACCCCAGTTATGAACCTGCCAGGTAGCGCCCGCTGTGCCTTGGGAAAGTGGCTGGTAGTCGCAGAACGCTTGACAATCTATCAAAGTGTGTCTCTCCTTCTGCCAGAAAGACAGTCCTGCAAACAAAGCCTTGCAAATACTTTTAGGGAGTTCCCAGGCGCACGACAATGCAGGAGCAATCCCTAGTTGTAGTGTGACACTTGGAAAGTGAATGCGATTTAGGCTTCTTCACAGGCAGAATGCAATTTTCAAAATGTTTCACAGATGGATATATATATATATATATATATGTGTGTGTGTGTGTGTGTGTGTGTGTGTGTGTGTATGTATGTATATATATATATATAATTGATTTCAGAGAGGAAGGGAGAAGAAAAGAGAGATAGAAACATTAGTGATGAGAGAGAACCATTGATTGGCTGCCTCCTGCAACCACAACCCGGGCATGTGCCTTTGACCAGAATCGAACCCAGGAGCCTTCAGTCCGCAGGCCGACGCTCTATCCACTAAGCAAACCAGCCAGGGCTCACAGATGGTCTTAATATAGTGCTGTTGGTACTGTGCTCAGCAAACCACTTACCCTCCACTTTATTCTTTTCGGGGTGTTGTGTTTGTTTTCTCTTTGCGGCCTAACAACTTGCCTCACGCTGCTTGGCTTATAGCACCGAGCATGTCTGACCTCCGGTCCTGTGGCCCACCCTTGGCTGGTGGCTCTGGCTGCTGGCCCCCATGAGACTGCTTCATGATGTTGGCGGGGCTGTACGCTCTGAAGGCTGGCCCCGGCTGGGGAGCCACTCTGTGGAGGTGGGCACAGGCCTGGGTTCCTGGGCACACGGACCTCTCCATTGGACTGCTCCAGTGTGCAAGGGGGAAGCCACTGAGCCTTTTGTCACCTGGTCTTAAAAGTGACAACATTACTTCTATTCATTAGAAATGAATCACTGAGCCCAGCCCATACTCAAAGGTGGGGCATGAGGTCCCTTTAGAAAGGAAGAGTGACAAAGAAAGTGTGGACACTTAACCCTCCCCCCCCACACACACACACACACACATACACACACACACAAATGATTAGCTAGCTAGGTCCTTAGATAATGGATGCTCCACGCTAACTTTACAAAAGTTTGAGTTATCTGAAGTTGACTATTTTTATGGGGGAAAACTTTTTTTTCTCTTGAAAGGTAGGGTAGCTGTGTGTTCTGGTAGGTAGCATAGTGGGATAATTCTGGAGTGTTACTGCCAGTAGTTCAAAATGTCAAATAAAAGCCACGGCAAAGCTCCAAAAAGGAGCATTCCTATGGAGTTAACATTGTGCAGAGCGCCCTCTGGTGAGAGAAACAGAAAGCGGAGAACAGAGTGAGTTGGCCTCATAGTGTCCCTCAAAGCGTGGAACCAGAAGCTTTCAAACTTTGTCTTTCATTCAAGAAGGAAGATATTTGGATTTACATCTGGAATGTATAAAAAACTCTTACAACTTAATAATAAAAAAAAACTCAAATAACCAATTAAAACCAGACACTTCTAAACAGACACTTCTCCAAAGAAGCTCATGAGACATGCTTGGCATCATTAGTTCCCAGGGAAATCCGAATCAACATCACAGTAAAGGTACCCCTAGAACCAGCTGTTGTGATCGCTACAACTAAAGAAGCCATAGTGGTCCTAGCCTATTTGCTCAGTGGATAGAGCATCGGCCTGAGGACCAAAGGGTCCCGGGTTTGATTCTGGCCAAGGGCATGTACCCATGTTGCAGGCTCCTCCCCGGCCTGGGCCCTGGTCAGGGTGCAGGCAGGAGGCAACCAATCGATGTGTTTCTCTCACATGAATGTTTCCCTTTGTCTTTCCCTCTTTCTCCCACTTTCCCTAAAAATCAATGGAAAAATATCCTCCGGCGCCAGGATTCACAAACTAACTAACAAAACACACCATGAAAGAGCTGGGAACTGGGGCTCTCAGACGCTGCTGCTGGGTTCAAAGTGGTGAAGCCCCTGGCTGGCCTGCTCAGTGATTAGATCGCTGGCCCAGGCACCAAAGGGTCATGGGTTTGATTCCTTGTTAAAGGCATGTTCCTGGATTGTATCCCACATGTATCTCTTTCACATTGATCTCTCTCCCCCCCCCCCCCCCCCCCCCGCCCTGTCTGTCTGTCTGTCTCTCTTCCCCTCCCTTCTACTCTCTCTAAAGATCAATGGAAAATATTCTCTAAGGAGCATTAACAAATAAATAAAAATAAAATAAGCCCAGCCATTGTGGCTCAAAGGTTGAATGTCCACCCATGAACCAGGAGGTCATGGTTCAATTCCCAGTCAGGGCACATGCCCGGGTTGCAGGCTCGATCCGCAGAAGGAGGCAGCCAATCAATGATTCTCTCTCATCACTGATGTTTCCCTCTCTCTCTCCCTCTCCCTTCCTCTCTCTGAAATCAATAAAAACATATTTTTTAAAAAAGCATTGCTAGTGGGAACACAAACTGGTATAGACACTTTGTAAGACACTTGGGCAGTTTCTTACGAAACTAAACATATTTTTTGCCATACGATTCAGCAGTCACACTCCTTGGTATTTACCCAAAGGAGCTGAAAGCTTATGTCCACAGGAAAACCTACTCGTGGATATGTATAGCAGTTTTATTCATGATAGCCAAAGCTTGGCAGCCACCAAGATGTCCTTCGGTAGGTGAATGGGCACTTAAACTGTGGTCCATCCGGACAATGGAATATCACCCAGCACTAAAAAGGGAGCTGCTGTCAGGCCATGGAGAGACATGGGGGAATCTTTTAAAAAGCGTTTTCTGCTGTTGCTTTTTTAAAAAATATGTTTTTATTGATTTCAGAGAGAGGAAAGGAGAGAGAGATAGAAATATCAATGAGAGAAAAACATTGATCGGCTGCCTCCTGTACACCCCCTACTGAGGATTGAGCCCACAACCTGGGAATCGAACTGTGACCTCCTGGTTCATAGATTGACGCTCAACTACTGAGCCATACCAGCCAGGCGACATGGGAGAATCTTAAGTGCACATTACTAAGTGAAAGAAGTCAATCTGAAAAGCTACATGCTATTTAATTCCAACTATATGACATTCTGGAAAAGGCAAAATTATGAAGACAGGAAAGACCACTGGTTTTCAAGAGTGGGAGAGGGAGGGATGAATGGGCGAAGCACAGAGGATTTTTAGTGCCGTGAAACTACTCCGTATGATACATGATGGGCACATGTCATTATATTACATCTGTCCAAACCCATAGAACATACAACACCAAGAGCGAATGTTAAGGTAAACTGTGGACTTTGAGTGATGATGATGTGTCAATGTAGGTTCATCAGTTATAACAAACTAGAGGCCCAGTGCACAAAATTCGTGCACTCATGATGGGGGGAAGGGTCCCTCAGTCCAGATTGCGCCCTCTCGCAGTCCGGGAGCCCTCGGGGGATGTCCGACTGACGGCTTAGGCTCACTCCCCACCCATCAGTCGGACAGTCTTAGCGCTGCCACGGCGGTAGGAGAGCCCGGCTTCTGGCTGAGCAGCACTCCCCCTGTGGGAGCGCACTGACCACCAGGGGCCAGCTCCTGCATTGAGCATCTGCCCTGCCCCCTGGTGGTCAGTGTGCGTCATAGTGACAGGTCATTCTGCCATTTGGTCTATTTGCATATTAGCCTTTTATTATATAGGATGTACCATCAGGTGGGGGATGTTGATAGTGGGGGAAGGTGTGCAGATGCAGGGCAGGGGGTATATGAAGACTCTCCATCTCCCTCACATCAATGGGTTGCCTTCCGCACCCACCCAGAATGGGGACCAGACCCACAACCCAGGAATGTGCCCTGACTGGGAGTCAAACCCGCCACCCTTCAGTGTACAGGACAATGGTCCAACCAGCTGAGCCACACCAGCCAGGGCAACAAGCTTCCGTGCTTCAACACACAATCGTCCCAGGGCGTCACAGGCAGGTCCCCTTCCTCCCGGGAGGACCCTGCTCTGCACTGGGGACGCTGGGTCCTCCCAGGAGCAGCTTCTCTCCGGCACAGGGTTTGTCACACGACCTCGCCCCCTGAGTCCTGAACAGCCTGGGTGTCCTGTCGGTTCCTCCACCTGCTTTTTAAAGGCTGGGCGTGTTTTCGTTTGACTTTTTTGTTCATTCAAAACTGACGTGAGACGTTCTTAACCACGAGCTTGACGAGGTTGTAGGGAGAGCGAGGTGTGCACATGTCTTTGCACTTTTCTGGGGAAGGGACCATCGCCCTTTATCCTCAAGGGCATCCTCGACCCGAGAGGCTCCGTGTGCCCATCACCACCGTGCAAACCAGGGGCTGGCGGGCTTTTCCATGAAGGGCCAGACAGTGACTATTTCAGCTCCTCAGACCAGACAGACCCTCTCCGCCCCGACTGCTCGCGTCTGAGGTTAAAGCACGAATGCAGCCGGAAGTGGACGTTCATAAATGAAGGGATGTGGCTTGTCCCAGGGCACGTGCTGTACAGGAGCCGTCGGCCGGCCAGGCTGCCCTCGGCCACAGTGCGCCAGCCCCTCTGCACAAACACCACACGGAGTTCCAATAACCCGTGACCTTCCCCCTCTGTCATATGCGAATCCTCCTTCCGCCACCCATAAGCCCAGGAAGCCCCATCCTGAAGTCAAAATGGAAATTTTATGTGATCAGCAAATTTAATGGCATGTCACCGGTATCTGCCATTAGCATATGGGCTTTTCAGATAGTGAAGGTTTTCTGCCTGGTGCCAAATCCTCCGCAGTGCTCCTACCTAAGAATATATCGCTGGGAGGCTCGCCCAGGACAGACCCCCACTGTAACCTGATTGCTGCTCGCAGTGTTCATAACTCAGAGCGGGGCAGGCGAGACGCTGGCAGGGCCGTGATAGCTCTGGTCTTTTATTGGTTTTCGTAAAACCGACCAATACATTGAATTTCTAGTTTAATATCAAGCCTCGCCTCGGAGAGTAGAAGCAATCTAGAAAAGTCCATTTTGACTCTGTTACAAAGAACTATCTAAAACACGCCAGCTTTTGGCTCGACCTACACACAACAGAAAGGGTCACCTTTACAAAGTCACCCTTTTGTGTAAGAGTGTGAGGCACACGCCACCGTGGCCACAGCGTGTTCGGACCGCGCACTGAGATGCCTTCCTCAGGCTCAGCGTGTCTGTGCTCCCCGCAGGCGAACATGCGGAGACACGCGGGGAAGTGTGCGGCTGCGGCCCCCGGAGCAGGAGGACGGACCCAGGCGAGGATGTGGGCGGTCCCGAAGGAGGAAGACGAATACGGTACCTCCTTTTAAACATATTGGGGTTGACTTTGACCATGATGTGCTCGCTGTACCTTTCCCTGGGTGCTGAGCTTTCTGCGGGGAGCACACCCGGGAACCCTGAGGCCCAGGCCCTGAAGGCACCCGGCCCAGGCCTGGCCCAGGAGCGGCTCCTGCCACTTGGGGGCAGGTCTTGAGCTCCATTTGGCCCCGTGTGGTCAGGGGGGAAGCAGCCTGGTCACTTACCCCCTCTCAGGGCTGCAGTGAGGTCGGAGTAGGGAGGAACTGGGGAGCCCTGGGCGGAGTCCACACACCCCACCACATGGGTTCCTGGGGGCACGTTGGTGAGGCTGGATGGCAACCGCACATGCCCACCGCCCTCCTGTCCCTGAAGCTCCCTCAGCAGAGCCGTGGGTTGCTGAGCGCTGTGTTCGCACCGGAGGTGCTGCAGTAACAACTACAAACTGGGGGCTTGGACCAGGGGGTGACAGACCCCCCATAGTCTGGAGCCAGACATCCTGAACGGAGGCGTGGCCAGGCCCTCTCCCTCCGGAGGCTCCAGGGTCGGGGCCCCCTGCCTCTTCCAGCTTCTGGTGGCCCCAGCGTTCCTTGGCTCTTGGCTGCATCACCCCAGTCTCTGTCTGTCTTTACCTTTTCTGTCTCTTATAAAGCCCTTGTCATGGCTGAGGGTCTGCCTGGAAAATTGAGATGATCTCATCACGAGGTCCCTAATTACCTCTCCAAAGACCCTTATTTCAAAAAGGTCACACTCAGGTCAGGTGTTAGGGTGTGGACACAACTTGGGGGGGGTGGGTACACTCGTTTATTGGAGGCGACAAACCAGGTGGAATCCAACAGCAAGCCCAACACCAGGCCACCTGGACCTGGGCTCTAAGTGGGAGGGACCTGAAAACATCTGTATAGATTTGTGACTTCACCTAAATGCGCGGGATTGTGTTTAAAGCCCCACAACGGAGAACAGCTGTAGAGCTGAGGTGGAGAAACCCTGACAGAGGCAGGGCTGAGAGCAGACTCATCGTCCTGTCCATCCACGGAAAGATTGCTTCCTAAAAAGAGTGCTGCTCGGCTAACAATCAAAATACATTCGCACTGACTTCTTGACCTTATTTTAAATGTGTCAACCCTGTGCCTTTCTCCCCCACCCCCACCCCCACAGAAGCCGCTGCCTGGGAGGCCGAGGAGGCCTCCATGGTGAGGGGAGACCAGTACCTAGGAGAGATGACTCCTGTCAACTTCGGGGAGACCACAGCCGGAAGAAAGGACCTGGATGGAGACCTGACCTGCGAGATGGTCCTCAGCATGCTGAACGAGTGAGGCGTTCGGGCCATTCTCACAGCGCGCCATCCTCACGCGGGTTAGGAACGCTTAGCGTCCTCTGTGAAACAATGAAGTTTGTGACACTGGGTAGTCATAGTTTTTTCCAAAGCTGGAGGCAGTGCCTAGAATTGTTTGCCTGTTTTTCACTGAATATTTACAAAATTAAAACAGAAAACATTGCAGGTGTTTTATAAGAGGCCCACATCTTGAATTGAGGGATAAAATCCCAAACCCATGAATTCATTCACTAGATTTTGGCCAAAGTGGCCCACAATGAATGAGCAATGATTTTTGGACAATACCTATTGCTGTCGTAGCACAGACTATTGAGTGCTTCGGCCAACAGTCAAAGCTGGAAAACTTTATGTTGAATTGTACATGCCCGTGATAGTTCTAATATTACAATTTTTAAACATAAAATATAAATTTTATATCCTTTATTGTACAAATGAATTTTCCATAAAATTTAAAGCCATCATAATACTTTTAATGAGTTTTAGATTCAACACAAAGAACCTTAATATTATACAAAAAAAAAACTGAGTGGAAAATGAGAAACTCTAAATTCGACTAGAAAATAATGCTTAACCTATTTCACCCCGGTGTCTGAGCAGAGCCTGCATTTAGATTTCTGTGTGCTTCCTGAATTGTGTCCTTTGGCTGGAAGAAAATCACCCTGGTTACTTCCCATTATTGCTCATCAGCATATCAGTTCATCACCCGTTTGTTCTGCTAAAACCACTTTATGTTTTCAAAATAATTGGAAGAGAAAAAACAAAACCCTGGTCGTGAAAATGTGTACTGGAGAAGAATTTGTACTTTTTTAGAGCCCCCTGTAAACAATGAGCCTTTGAAGACCTTCCCATCTTCGAACAGCATGTGAAATGCCCAGAATTAAAGTTAACTAGTTCCTATCTTCATAATGAGTCACATTTTTCTTCTGAGCTCAGCACTTGCTTTTGCTGTGAAATTTTCTCCCCAGAGTTTAAAATCAATGATGGGTCCTAAATTCAAATTCTTTTTTTTTCCAGTTTAATTGAGGTATAATTGACAAATAAAAATATGAGACGTTAAAGTGTACATCACCATGATTACACCGTGACTACATTGTTTAAGAATCTCTCCCATCTTGTTAGCTCAGTTCAAATTCTTAAAATGCTGATCTGTTGTTAAAAATATCCCAAGTCAGAAGCGCTGGACAAGGTGAGCCTGTGGGAGGCGTTATATTCTTTCCATAACAACAAACCATTGAATTCACATAGTGAGACATAGTCTGTTATATGCTACCATTCTGACTATTTGAACTTTTGTAATTGTTTCTTATTTTTTTACTATTGTTTAAAGATGTTTTGCATAACTCAATAAAATGACTTAAAGTTATCTTTGTTATAAAATGTGCGTGGTGGTTCCTAAAAATGTCTTTTTTCCCCCTGATGAAGATGTGGAAAAATCAAAACTCTTGTGCACTGTTGGTGGGAATGTAAAATGGTGCAGCCCCTATGGGAAATGGTAGGGCCGTTCTTCAAAAAAATTAAAAATAGAACCACCCTATGACCCAGCAGTTTGGGTATACACCTAAAATATTGAAAGCAGGGCTTTGAAGAGATATTTGCACACCCACGGTCATAGCAGCACTATTCACAGTAGCCAATACGTGGAAGCCACCCAATGTGCATGGATGGATGGATGGATGGATGGATGGATGGATGGATGGGTCAGTAACGACGTGGTCCATCCATACAATGGAATAGCACTCAGCCTCAAAAAGGAAGGCATTCTGACACCTGCTACAGCATGCATGAGCCTTGAGGACATCACATTAAGTGCAATAAGCCAGACACAAGAAGACAAACACTGTATGATTCCACCTATATGAGGGACCCAGGGTAGTCAAATTCCTGGAGACAGAAGGGAGAATGGCAGGTGCCGGGGCGGGGGCACGGAGTGCTAGTGTTCCATAGGTGCGGAGTTTCAGTGTGGGAAGATGACAGAGTTCCTGATGGTTGCACAACAGCGTGAATGTACCCAATGCTGTTGAACTGCCCAGTGATAGTTAAAATAGTAAATGTTATGTTGTGTATTTTACTACAATTAAACATTTTTAAATTTAAAGAGAACCGATAAACATGTTTAGCCCTGGCTGGGCTGCTCAGTGGATAGAGGTCGGCCTGCGGACTGAAGGGTCTCGGGTTCGGTTCTGGTCAAGGGTATGTACCTCGGTTGCGATCCCTGGTCTCAACTCGTGTGGGAGGCAGCCGATCACTGTGTCCCTCTCTCTGTCTCTCCCCCTCCCTTCCACTCTCTCTAAAAATCAATGGGAAAATATCCTCGGGTGAGGATTAACAACAAAAAACATGTTTGAAACTGCAAGCCCAGTTGGTATCTAACAACATCAACACCTCCTCATAAGCTGTCTTTTGTAAGTGATTTGCAGTGTTTTCCATGTATAACACCTGATGACATGTGATGTAGAATGAAATTCAGATGATGGGCTTTGATTCTATATTATGTGTCCAGACGCCTGCATAAAAGGAGAAACTCGTTTGTTCGTCAAGTGCAGTAACTATTAGTGCATTCCATTTCTGTGGCAGGAGCAATGACAGCAGTCTCCACAAGAGGGCAGTTGTGCCTCCCCTCCACCCGCCCTCCTTCCTTCCCAACCAGGGAGACACACCTTCAGCTATCGGAGACTCTGATAGGAATGGCCAAGTTGTAACAAACTCTCCCACGTTGGCGTGATCAATGTCGTGCCATAGAGAAAGGTGAAAAATGGGTTTGCCCTTACTCGTAACAGGAGGGTTTATTGCTACGTGAAGAAAGGGGCCTTTACAAAACCTGGAGGTGAGGACGGTGTGGTGGCCCTGAGTTCAGACGCCTGGGGACTGAGCCACCTTCGGAACGGGAACGCTTCAGCTTAAAATAGCTCTGCGACCCACAGGAAATCGTTCTGGAATGTATACCTCTTGCACAATTTAACGTCTCTGTTTCGGGGGGAGGGTGTTTAAATTACAACGTTGTTTGACAGCAGTTTTACTATGCAAAGGATGCTTTTTAAACAAACCTAGGACCTGGCTGAAGCCTGCGTTGCTGCAGTCGGCCACTGACGGGGCGGCTCCCAGCGGAGGGTTAGTCCTGCGGAACTAAGCAGAAGAGTTGATATTGTAAAGTCCGACAGCTACTACTGAACATGGCACGTTTGCAGATGTCGTTTCCAGCATCAATGTGGTGTTTTTGGTAACCATGGAAAACCTCGGGGATACTTAATGTATGCTTTATGACTCTGTCATTAATGGGCAGTGCTAGTCATACTTAAACACGTTGAATTCAAGCCTTAGGACTTTTGCTTAACCAGCCAACTTCATCTACATTTTGCTGATCCTTTTGTTGCAGTTTATTTTTTTTAATCCTCACTGAGGATATTTTTTTCCATTGATGTTTAGAGAAAGTGGAAGGGAGGGAGGGAAGGAGAGAGAGAAACCTCGATGTGAGAGAGACACATCGATTGATTGCCTCTCGCACGTGCCCCAACTGGGACCAGGATCAAACCTGGAACCCAAGTATGTGCCCTTGACTGGGAATCGAACCCGGGACCCTTTGGTGAGCGGGCTGCTGCTCTAACCACTTAACCACAGTGGCCAGGGCATATTGCAGTTTATTTTTGATTGAGTATATCTGATAAAACAGATTTTAAGTGGCATCCTAGTTTATGATGTTACTTTAGTAGGTTTGTATCATTTCCAAGGCCTGGCTGCGTATGAGGCTGGCCTTTAAGTCATTGTCTTTTATAGTACACACCATCTAGGATTTCAAATGACATAAATCCCCTTTTTCCTCAGCAGTTGCAGGTAGAATACCGTAGAGGTCGCTCACCATGCATGCAGAGACAAAACGGCAGTGAAAAGACCTCTTAGCCCGCCGGTTTTGCTCCGACCAAGGACTGAAGGGTCGTGGGTTCGATTCCCTGTCAAGGGCACGTACCTCAGGTGCAGGTTCCCCAGCCCTGGTGGGGGCTCGTGCAGGAGGCAACCAATCGATGTGTCTTCCTCACGTCGATGTTTCTCTCTTTCCCCCTCCCTTCCACTCTCTCTAGAAATCAATGGGAAAAGTATCCTGGGTGAGGATTTAAAAAACAAAAACCTCTTAACTGAGCCAGGATGAGTGGAAGCTGGCCACAGGGTGACACGTTCCTCTTAGGGGCAACCAAAGAGCTGAAAGGCACCTTGTTGCCATTTCCTGCTCGTGGAGTATGACAAAGGTCACTGATCAAAAGACTCATCCTGATAATCATTATAATTACATCCCAAGGCCTGAACCAGCAGAATCAGTAAAGTGATAACAGAAAACAGCGTGCTTGACAGTGAGTTACTTTAAATCAATCAGCATTGGTCACTTTGTCTACGGCGACATCCAGTCCTTGGTGTGCCTCCCGCGAGGGCTGCGGCACTGGTCACCTGGGTGTGCACTTGTCCCTGCACTGGTCACCCTTACTCCGTCCGTCTGGGCCTCAGGGCTCCTCCCCCTGCAGCGTGGCTCTGTACACCTCCCACCACTCAACATGCCCGACCTTCATCGAACTCCATCATCTTGGGAGACACTCCAGCTCCTTCGAGGCCCTGGACAGCAGTGGTGCAGAATGCTCTCGGGCATTGGGATTACCTGGGGAGCTTATAGAAACCAAACCCCTGGACCCTCAGGCCCGTGAACTAGCATGGGGGTGGCCCCGGAGAATCAGCATTTTCCAGTTTTGTTGCAAATCGAGCTCCGGGGCCTCTTGCTCTCCAGGCTTTGGTCCTCCCCTGCTCTCGTGCATGCTGGGAAAACTAGAGATGCGAATGTTCCGCAGCAGCCATAGCTTCCATTCTCGGGTTCTCCCCAGAACAGTAAGCAGCCTCTCTCCAGTGGCCTGTCCACCACTCACTGTCCCAGTGGGAACAGAAAGAGGCAGAGCTTCCGAAGCAACACGTGACCTGTGTTGTGGGACTTGCCAGCCTCCTCCATGGCTTGGCACCAAGATGGCAAACTCAGGGAACGGGGAGCAAGCGTGGCAGCTGTGACGGCGTCAGACACAACCGTGACAGGAGAGGGACAGCGAGAAGATCCAGGATTGCTGACTGTCCAGGAGGTGCTGCTCCCGGTGACGGCGTCTAGGGTGCAGGGACCGTTTCACAATGCACGTGTCTGACCGCGCAAGCATGTGTGTCCTGTGTCAGGTAACGCTCCTCTCGGTACACGGGGCCCTGCAGAAGGAGGACGCTGGTTCTTCTTAAACATGATTCTTACCCCTTATTGTGACAGACAGGACAATCCCAGCATGGGTGGATGGATGAGTACAGGTAGATACCTGCTCATATTTTTTAAATTCCATGAAGAATCAGACATTA